AAAAAAAAATGTGCAAAATGATGTAAAAATAAACTTTTTAATAAAAAAAAAAAGTCCTTATCACCAGAGATTGGAAAGGGTTGTTGAAATGGATCTATGTAACCATACACTTACTAAAATAACACCTGTCCTTGTCACTTCCCCACAATTCATTGCCTCTAGCACAAACCATGTTGTTTTTCACTAAGTTATCATTTCTTTGTCTAAATGGTATATAAATTCATGCTTTGGTCACTTCACTGAGTATTCTCTTAGACTCCCACATACATGTTAACATTTGATTAAACCTGTCTGCTTCTTTCCTATTAATCTACCTTATGTCAATTTAATTCTTATTCCCAGCTGGAAACACAGTAGAAGTGAATGTTTTCTTATCCTACACATATAAAGTTAGGATACCTAAGGTTCCAGGGGATTAGGACTCACGGCCCCATATTCCCATCCTTCCTGGCAGAAGGTACTGAGACAGTCTCATGACCAACTATTACATCCACACAGTAGTTTTGGTCGTCTAGTGAGTAAATTCCCTGTTGGGCTTTGAACCAATTAATGACAGAGTCCTGGCATATTTCCTAATAATGCTAAATTTCCCTTTTGCCCACTTTGCTCTAAAAGTTAATCTTCAGCAGCTACATTAACATTACACCTGCCAAGAGGATGATGGTAGCTTGCAGAGCTAACCCGGGACACAGATGGCTGGAAAGTATTTCCCAGTTCCCCAAAGGGGAGGCAGTCTGTGCACTCCCTAGCTTCCCCAAGGGGAGTCCACGGGCTCCCTTTCCAACCCAGCCAGCCACCCAGGCCTCAATCATATGCGTATCTGTCTCAGTTTAGGGTTTCCAGAATTATTGGTTCACCAGAAACCTAGATTTATAAGAAACTTGAGAAACAGTCTGCTGACTCCTTTGTCAGTGAGGAAGTGGACGGGTCATTGTATCACAAGGCAAACAGCCCTTTACCCCACAAGTTGCACAAATGTAGACGAGTGTTTTAACTTCTTTCCGTTTCCTTGTAAAACATGGTGACTGCATCCTCTGTCTCCTGGGGTTGGGATGACAATATAAGTGAGGGAATGTGTAAGCACAATGTTTGGGGAGGTGCAGAACTTACATGCTAGCTGCTCTCGTGTGTCTTTTATATTCACAGGTGAGCGTTCAGAAAAGGAGAAACCAGTTCCAAGCAGGGTTAGATACCTGCAGAACCATTGCTCAGCACAGGGTTCCGAGGCAGCCTTCAGCCTGCCCATCCCCCTGTTGCCAACTTTAAAGAAGTGTGACCCCAAAATGATGTAAAAATAAACTATTATATTATTAAAAAATTAATAAAAGCTACTTATGAAGTAGAGACAATAATCCAAGCTAAAATAATCTGAAAGGTGATTCTTCTAGTTCTACTTCTTCCTTAAAACTTTTAGAATTTTTTATTCAAAAAATAATTCCCTGTTCATACAATAAGGCTTCCTTATCATAAGTATTAGTCATAGATTTACTATTGAATGGACATGGAATTGTAGATTTGCTGATGTGAGCCAATTCAGCATATATCCAATAGAAGCTTATTTTAAAGATATTGATGGAAAAATATATAAATATGAAAAGAGGTACTAATTGAGGTACTTTACCTTGAAAATTTTCTGAAATTCAGAAATGCTTATTGAATGTTTTCAAAATGATCAAAGCATATTATCTCTCAAAGAAATTTTATGACAAACATGTACATTCATAAGATTAGTAATACTAATAATGGGACCACAGTTTTAGTAGCATGAGAAAGGCAAATTTACCAGATATATTTATTATTTTGATAAGATTTTTCCTTTTTTTAAATCTGTGTCTAGACTCCACAATATATACCTGTGAAATCATCAAATACTTTAAAAAAAAGATTCTATAGTAATTATTTTATGCTGTTACATTTGTGCTTTTTGTAAGTGGCTAAATAATATTAAAATTTTTATTAATTAAATATTTATAAAATATTAACAACAACAACAAAAAAAAGTGTGACCCAACCTGGGTGTCTCTTTGAATCATGGTTCCCAGCGTAGGAGACCCATAGGGTTCGTCTGATGGAACATTATAGCTAAAAGCGAACTGGAAAATGTTCAAATGATGTTTCCTTTTCTTTAAAAAAAAACAAACAAAAACTTGACCTAACATTGGTTTGCAAAATCATATAAACTTCTAACAGTAGAGTTTCACACCACAGTAAATGTGTACATGACACCTCTCACACCTGTCAGCCAGCAGCACTCACCACTATCAAATCGACCCCAGGCACCCACCCCTCCCACCCTTGTCCCCTCCTCTGGTAACTACTATTCAGTTGCCAGAGTCTAAGAGTTCTTTGTGTAAGATTTTGTTAGCTCACTTGCTTTGTTTCTTTACATGCCACATATGAATAAAAAAATCTGGTATTTGTCTTTTTCTTTCTGAATTATTTTCCTCAGCACAATCACCACAATTTCCATCCATGTTGTAGCAACTATGCCCTAGATGAGGCCAGTAATAAACCCTCCTCATGGACCTACTGTGAGGAGTTAATGGATTAATTCATAGAAAGTGCACAGTGAGTGCTTAAAATATTGGTTGCTTTTATTTCTAATATTTTTAGCAAAGGAAGAAGAGAAAGGAGGACAAAAGAAAATAGTAAAAGAGACTGAGAAAATTCAGGGCAGTAGTGATCAGAAAGGAGAGGATATCCATGAGAACATGGAACCGATGAAGAGGAAGATGGAGTGGATCCTAAGGAAATTTCAGGGATGTATGAGAGCAGTTTGAGTCATGGCAGGAAGGAAACCGGAACCTTAGGGGAAAAGGAGAGTGATCAAAGCTGAGCAGAAGAAAGTGGGGAAGGACAAGCCAGCTGATTGTTGAGCCAGGCAGCTACTGACCAGGTGGGTAAGTTGCCGCTGTTACCTTACTTGCACCTACCTTGAAGGAGTAACCGCCCCTGCATGCCTGCGTGGAGGTAGCTCCTGCCAGTCAGCTCTTGAAGCTCCTTTCTGCTGCCCTCGCAGCGGACCCCTATTCCCTGTTCAAGGAAGTCTCATGGCAACTGATATACATTTCTTTGGGCAGCTTATCTAGGAATTGCTGTAAGCATGAACTTCTTGTTTTTCACCATCAAACTTGTGGTTCTGCTTTTTATTTATTTTCTATCTTTTTTTTTTCACCTGTTTTCAAATGGTTTTTGAAACCACTTGATGGTGGTAGGTTTTTCTAGCTATTTTTGATTGCTTTTGGACTGACAAAATCCATTGACTCTAGGAAAGGAATGCCTATTAGTTAAAGAACATTGTATGAGCAGAGGAAGTGACTTTGGGGCCCAAATAAACTTTTAATAACCTGGTGGTTTTGAGCTGGGTACAGGATTTAGGGTATCTGTTGGTATCTGAAATTTCTGGAGGAGACAGTTTTACAAATTGGGGGCTTCTTCTTTCCTTCTCCCTAGCAGCCGTCACTCACCAGCTGTTTGGAACCTCAAAGTCTGGTAGAGGTGATGTATTGTTTGGTCATCTGGGGGCAATCCAGACCAATTTGCAGGATTTGGAAGAAAAGGCCTCTAAGTCATTCCCTGCTTCAATGAATATTCAGTAAAATGAATAGTAAGTGATGGTACCTGCACTAACTTCTAGGGATCATTTTGTTCAACAGTGAACAAAATGTACACAGTCTTTTCTATGCAGAATTTAGGTGAGGAAGCTAAACAAGTATAAACAAGTATATAACTCATACTAAGTCTAGCTATATCATGGTCCAGTTGTGGCAAGATGCTGCTTTCTTGAACATCCACCAATTGCACAAATCCAAGGTCCAAAAATAAACAAAGAGGCAATTTTTGAAATATTCCCAAAATTCAAACAGGAGATTCTACTAAGTGCATATGGAAAAATGTTTTAAGCTAATTTCTTTCTTATGTTTTGAGCAAGGAAACCACCTCTTAATGATTTTCTACTTTCTCTCTTTGAGTTGTGCTAGAGAGGAGTTTTGGTGGAAATTTAAATCACTGAAGCCTTCATTTGTTTATTTATACATCATTGCTCATTTTTGTACAATGTTTGATTTCTCAAGTGTAGTCCCCATAAAATTACCAGCAAGACACCAGTGAACTGAAATCAGACTCTTATGCTCTTCCCTCCCTTTTGATCACTCTTCCTTCTCTCTGATGAATGTCTCCAATTTATAGTTTGCCTGCTAGTTTTGTCTTTTATTGCCCATGGCCCCTTGTTTGGTCCCCTTATATTCCTCCTGTAAGTGAAACCATCCAATACGTTTCTTTTTCCTTCTGACTTATTTCACTGAACATAACCTCTTCCAATTACATCCATGTTGTTGAAAGTTAATCTTTTTTGATTGCTGAATAGTATTCCATTGTGTATATCTACTGCATCTTTTTTGTGAATCACTGAAGGTTTAAAACCAGGTATGGTTATAATATTACCTCTACACTCTTTTTTTTTCTTTTTTGGATGCTTTTTTATAGAAGGAAGCAGGGGTGCATGGTAGGGCCAGTTGTACAATAACATAAGCAGAGCTAATGCCCTGTTGTAGCATTTTCCAGATGGTCTCTCTGCTTTTTCATTCTGCTCTAACACATTCCCAACCAGGCAGTCAGAGTTATCTCACAAAACAAATCACATGCTGTCACTCCCCTGTCCGAAAGCATTTTGTCTCCTCATCGTACCTAGGATTAAAAGCAAACTTCTTGCTCTGACCTAAAACCTCCTATGTGAGTTTTCCTCATCTACTTCTTAGATTTCATTTGCTATCACGCTCCCCTTTGCTTTGTATGCATCAACCATTAGCAGGCAGACTGAGGGGCACTTGAGAACTCCCAAGCATGCTCTAAAGGGATTCTGCCATGTGCCCCATAAGGACAAAGCAGTGTTAGTGTGTAAGATCTTTTTTTTTTTTTTATTGTTGCATTGACTTTATTTATTTATTTATTT